ATTCAACTAAAACTGATTTTCCAGTTGTAAAATTAGTGGGAAAATTTAACAGTTGCGATATTCCACTATATTGATTCAGTTTTAAATCACGAAAACGTTATATTCAAAAATGTAAGTATTTCGTTATTCTTACATCCTCAAATATTCTTAATTCTGGCGAGAACAACCCGACAAAGCCTTGCTAGTGCAGGCACAAGCGCCAGGACCTTTGTAATGCAAATCCACACCGCTGTGAGTAACCGTTATGTGAAAATAATACTTGTTAGAAAAATTTCTTTTAAGAAATCCTATGAGGCATGTCCGAATATAAAAAAAGGTATATAAACCAAAATGGCAAGTAATCTCTGCATTTTTAAAGCAGAAAAGTTCATAAATACTTATAATTACGTATACGCTCACAATTAAAGGACATTTCTGTGCAATAACCTGGCGTTTAGAGAAACTTTCTTGCTTACCAAGATAGATATCGCAGGTTCAGCTTATCCATCACAAATTTGTGAAAAGAAATGCTAGAAATACTACGCTAGTAATATAAAAGACCTTTGTAGATGCTATTTTTTTCATGAACATAACATTCATGCATTTGCTTACGCTTTAACAATAAATTGATATGGAACACACTTAAGGTAATAATATTCTTTCTTTCTATACTGAAAAACATTCTGTGACGCCTAGTCTTTAAACATTCCTTGATAGGCTGTTTTTCACTTAATGATTCTTCGACTTAGACATTTCTCATTGCAGGTACGGGAGATGCAATCAGGAAGCAAGAATTGCTCGTCCTCCTAATTCAATATTAATTGTGTTTTGCAGCTGTTATCCATATCGTAACATGAGCGGCCGCAGATGTTTGATCATAGTATAAAAGCAGAAAAAAGGATAGAAAATGGAGAAAAAAATAAAGTTTACCGATGATAAGAGTGTTTGTCGAATTTCTCATAGCTCTGTTTAATGCGACGACGACAACGAGGAGATTTCCAACAACTCCGATAACAATTACAATAGCAAATATCGATGGAATAATAATGCCAATTTTACGTTCGAACTCTTTCGTGTCATTGTAGAACGCCATCCACTGTTCAAACGTCGGCATGCTAAAATTTCCGTCGTCCTCCATGCTTGCGAACGG